CCTTTTCATTGTTAACCCAACACAATATCATCCTTTATGATCCAAGCACTCTAGCCTAGTCATTTTCCGTTTAGCAAAGTAGTTAAAATTATATATATAATTTTATCTTTATACAGTGTCAAGGTAACAACCGTAAATAAGGATTGMCTTGATCCAACAGTAGGGTTTGATTATGTTGAGGGGACGGTATGTTCAGATTCATCGCCAGAAGAACTGGTTAGTAATTTTATTTTTATTTATTATTATTTTATCTATCTCCAGCCCTTATGTATTGTTTTTATTAGAATAATGATGTTGAACATTTGGTAAACGATGATATTAATATATTGAATATAGTACCTACTTCACTAACCATAAGGCCAAACCATGATGAACATAATATGAATGGCTTGTTATTCAATTTCAACCAATTAATCAAAAACTACAAAACCCATTCAAAAATATAATGTTTTTGATATTTATTATGCATTAATGAATGTTTTTAATACTTCTAAAATATAACCCAGATGCAAATGACTTAAATTCATATACTGTGGAAATCTTAGACAACATTCTGGAGGTATCACAACAGATGTCACCGACTTGTGAGTCAGTGCCACAGATCGCAGTACCTACCTGACTTTTGCACTTCATTTACACCAGACAATTCATTGACCACACAACCTCTATTGTCAACTATTACTACTGTCACTAATTCCAAAAAKAAAAAATGTGGTAAGTAATTTAAAATTACTCAGAAAGAACCATTTATCTAATAGTATTAATTACAATTTTTTATAATAGATGTCAAACTTAACACACAATTTTCTAATTTGCGTGAAATATTCACTAATCTTGTCAAAACAAGCAACCAAAAAATTGAGGTTTGTTTTCCAATATCTCTTACTTTTACTATAATATACCTAATCATCCTTAAATGCTTTTTTAGCTGTTGACAAATTCCTTAAGCATGATAGCTGAAAGCAACATACAAATGGCTGCTGCAATCACTAAAATAGCTGAAAACGACGAAAAAAGACTCTTAGTAGATGAGCAACTTGTAAATTTATTATCTGCTACAATTTCGAAATTAAATTAAATTCTTTTTTATTGTATATTTAGTCAAAAGAAGTGATAATATTAATAAGTATTTTGTTTTATTTAATAATTTTATTCAACACATTACACAAAGCATACAACTATTTTAAGTTTGTTACACATTTTTAAAGATAAATATAAATTTATTTGTTTTGTTATATTCTGTTTAAGCATCACCATCAATGTATCTATGGAACCAATTTTGGAGTATTTGTTTTTGAATTCGCATTGCTACAGCTCTAGGCCCTCCCATCTCTGCTATTTCATCTTCATTTTGTTGAAAATTCCTAATAGCATATTCATCATTGTTTCCATTTTCAACATCTATAGGGGTACGGTAATGGATAAGCATATTATGAAGGACAGCACAAGCGTTTACAATTTTACCAGTCATATCGGGTGCATACATTAATACACGCTGATAGAACAGACATCTCCAAGGATTCTCTCTACAACATTTCTGGTTTTACAGTGTTTCATTGTATATTTGAACTGCCTCGTGCCCTCTCTACAATGTGGCAGTGGAGTCATAAGCCAAGGCTCTAATAGATAGCCAGAATCACCTAGATTACAATTAATACAAGACCAAATGTTCTTAATTTTCATTTGCAAAATAATTACCAATAAGCCAAGTATGGCGTTCACCCTTATTATAATGGAATTCCATGGCACGTCGGATAGGAGAAGTATTTATATTTAGTATTTTTAGTTTAGGGCTAACTACCTGAAAAATGTATTTGTTAAGTAAAATATAAACTATTAAAATATTTATATATACGGCTTGGACATCCAATGAATGATCCCATGATGGTTAACAAAAGCTTCTTCATGGTCTTTGGGGGCTAGAATATTTTTGTAAGTACAATCGATAGTACCAATGGCACCTTCAAACGGCTGTGGTGCATTACAAAATTCTTCACGAGTATCATTTCTTTCTAAATTTGTCATAGGAAATCGTACCCATTGTCTCAAGAAATTATTGTTAATAGCGTCGGTGACAGCATGAAGACATCTACTCACCGATGGCTGACTTACATTTAAATCAAAATGATCACCCGAAGCACGTTTATAGCTACCTTTGGCATAAAAGTAAACTGAAACTAATACCTATACAAGTTAAATAAAAAATTATAATTATAAATATTTTTACTGTGGTTTAATTTTAATTTTATTATTACTAGGTAATGAATGGCGATGATATTGTTGGCATTGAGTGGCATGTACAACATTTAACTGAGCAATATTATGCTAAATGCTTTATTATTACTTAAATTATTATTTAAAAATTATTGAATAAAATTAATTGTAATGGCATTATTGATTTGGGTAATTGAAATAATAGACCATATCGTCTTGAACTAGATGTTATTTAAATAAATATAATTTACTGGACACAAAAAACATGTTAAACAGTTGTGACTATTGTATTTTATTGAACTGGGGTTTGCGACTGTCTTGCTCTCATTAAAATATGGTACCAGCATTTGAAATGATTCTTATTTCTTTATATATATTATACATCGAGTGTGAAATCTTGGTGTCAGGAAATTCTTAAAATTTGTTCACCCCCTAAAATATTGGCCTAGTTACACCATGGTTTTAATATATATTATGTACTATATTAATGTAATATAATAATTGTGGTGGAACAATTACCTGGATTTCTACTGGAATTCCAGAGTTGCGCTCGCGTTGAAGCAATGGACGAATGGTATTAGTGAAGTCCATTTATAATTCCGAACTTAATCGAAAGATATCCATGAACTGATTTCTTGKCAGTTCATAAGCATTTTTTGTGTCACGTAACATTCTTCTTTACAACCGCCTCTCAACTGTCCTAACTCTTTTTTTTAGAAGTTCCAACTCCCATCCCAAAAAATATAAAGCCATGAACAAAGTTAAATAGCACTAGGTACTACAATATTAAAGTTTTAACTAGCACTCAAACTAAATAAAACGTCTTAATAATAACTAGTTTTGAGTTTAAGATAATATACTAATTTTTACTTTTTAGCCTCGAATACCCACTCGATAAGGCTATGATAAGGCGTAGCGGYCGTTTCAGAAGGTCCGTTACAATATCGGATATTTTAGATACCTTAACGATAACATTCGTTATAAAACTCTTACAGAATCACTAAATTGATAATTATTCGATAGTAGTCGTTTCGTTAGCTTAACGAACCGAAAGTTGTCGATAACAAGGAGAACCTAACCTATACTTTGATCAGTTTAATTACTATCGACTTAAATACAATAAATTCGATCATACTAAATAGCAAAAATATGCACTAAGTTCAATATTTATGCAAAAACATGCAAAATAAAAATATTGTATATTTACCTCCCCTATTTTAAGAGCTATATGTAATGTATATTGTAAACGTGTATATATTAACTGCAGCATGTGAAGGAAATTGGTACATTCGTTTGGGAGCAACTGGTACATTTAGTTGAAGGCAACTGGTATATTTTTAAAATCTCGATAACAGCCGTGGGGGGGGGGCAACTGGTCAACACCCGTATAAGCATTATATTAGTAGAGCACAGTGGCGTAAACTGGGTAGTGCAAATGTGGCAATGGTATGTTTTTGCACCACCAGAAAATCATTGAAATTGTATGCCTATATTTCGTCGGCTACAGACGAAAAAACCTCGCAAGTCGAAATTTGCATATTTTTTTTTATTGGATGGCGGTATCCATATTATTATAAAGGTGAATTTTATAATCCACCTTGAATATTATCAATATAAAAACCTATTATCTTGACGAGCGTCTCACTGCAGCATGGCAAATTKGCTGCTGCGCGCGCAGCTCCCCTTATCATACCATTATCACTATTTATGTGCGCCTGATATTATGACCAAAAAGGCAAAAAACAAGTTTATTCATTTAAAAGTAAGTATAATTTATTAATTATTTCATATTTGTAAGTGGCTTGTAACTACAAAGTATTAGATAAGTTTTTTTTATTAAATTTAATTTTAAGATTTTTAAGTAATATTGTTTTGTACTTTTAAGAATACGAATGATCAAATGCATTATGAACATTTATAGTCTCATTATTGTCATCTTTAAGTCCAGAGATAATTGCATTTACTTCATTTACAGAAGGCTTTGCTATTGATGTTTTGCTGGGTTTCTTTTTTGTTGAGTATAACCGAAGCTGTGGATCTACTTTCCTTTCAACATTGACTTCTTCAACTGTTTTTAAGTGTGTTTGTCCTCCTTCATTCATTATTGCTATAACTTCAGCCAACTTTTTTTCAATTTTTTGTAAATTTTCATTACTGTATTCATTTGTTGAACTCAAACCCAAAATAATTTCTGTTTGGCTTATGATTTTTTGATTTTTGTGAGCTTTATGGTGACTAGATGTTGCAACCATATCCATTAATGTTTTTTGCTCTGTCATATTTGAGTTGTGAAAAACAGTGTTTTCAGTATTACCATCTATACTTATAAACTCACGAGCACAAGCATGTATGTGTTTACAAATATTTGCTTTAATAACATTATCAATACAAGAGCAATGAAAGGTGTGAATGCAAATATTACACTTTTTGCATTTCAAACATGATGAATGTGTACATGTTTCATCAGTTTTTATAATATARTGCTGCTGTGAAGGATTCGATAATGATTTGATAATATATACCTTTTTGTTTTCTACAGTTTGTATTTTTTCCACTTTAATTGATTTACTTGAGTTATGACTTTGATGTACTCTTTGGACTTTTTCAGTAGGGATATTTTTTGACAACTTGATCAAACGTTTGTATACACTATCTCTGGAATATTTCATAAGAGCATTAATTGTTTTGTCCAAACGTTTTACTCTCTTTCCTTCTAAATATATGTGTTTTAAAACTTTATGGAACGATTCCAAGTACATATTTGTATTAATCCCAAGTCTTAATCGAAAGCAATAAGCCCAACATTCTGGACGTATTGAGTAATATTTTTCAAAATATGCCCCAAATGTGCTAGTGTCTTTGTCTTGTTTTAAATCTCTTATGACATCTTGGAGATTGTTTTTAAATTCTTCAATGGATGTGGTTTGTAATAATATTCTTAATGTTTTATAGACAAGTGATTTTTTCTCTGATCCACCACTGATTTTTGATAAATTTTGTCTCCAGTTTTTATCGACGTGCCAAGTACACAGAAGTCTATGTTCAACCGGTCCCATTATAGCAGCCCAAGCATTATAAAATGCAGGAGCATCATCTGTCATAAAAACCTTGAAGCCAATAACTCCTACATTGAATTTTATTTTTTCAAAAAATAATTGAAAAATTAACTCATCGGATCGATTTGATAAACAAAATGCAACTGGGCAACCAGATCCAAATTCATCGACGGTGACAATAGAATACAACTGAATGTCGTATGCATTAGTTCCGTGAGTACCATCCACACAAATTTTATCACGGCCAAATTTTTGTATTGTTTCTTGTTGAAACTTTGTCATTAAAATTAATGCAAAATCATGCTTACTCAAGATTCCTTCCTCTCCGATCCAATCTTTCTCATCCTGACCCTTGTAATATAAAACTGGACATTGTGTTTCTAGCATTTTCATTTCTTCAACCCATAATTTTACACTAATCGCATCATTTTTATTTCGCTTAGTAGCGTAGTCAATGTTGAAATCACGTGAAATATTGTGTAGATCTTTCCGTTCCAAAAGAAGAGATCGTCGATGTGTATCATCGGTTACTTCAGCATCACGAATCGAATCTATAATGTGTTCAAAGGTAACTCCTTCTTTCAATTTAGCTATAAAAAAAATTTAAATATTTTAAATTTCAAGAAAACTGAAAAGAGGTATTAATTATAATTTGTGTAATATACCTGCAATATTTAACTTTAAGTCTTTGTCTAATCCAATTAGTCCAATTTCTTGTTCATGGCCATAATGGTTTTCCCAAAATTCAACTTGTACTGTCTTTTCACTTTCTGAAATTGTAAGTTTTATCATAGATGGACATGTTCCATTTATTTTATTAGTCCCTATAGATTTTGTCTCTCTTGTTTTCTCAATTTCATTTTTGGTTTTTCGATTGTTAAACGATCGATGGCAATAATAATATGATCTTGTACAGCCATTACATAATTTTGTTGCTGCTCTATCAAGTATAAACTTTGAAAATGTTTTTTGCTCTTTCTCCGTTTTCCATTTCTCAAATTCTATGTTAAAAAATAATATTAAAATTATGAAACAAAATTGCAAATAGTATTATTAATTATTAATGTGATATTATTAATCTTAAAAGTATTACCTGCAATGGACAAAAAACTTATTTCTTTTACTTCTATAGTTATGTCATGTTTTTCGAACAGGTGAATCCTTAATTTTGAAAATTTAAACATAGGTTCATTACACTCATTATAAGGACAAATTATTCTTGTTTCTCTATTTTTATCGCTGCTGTTGTGATATTTTTTTATATGAGTATCTAAAGTTTTCTGAACTTTAAATGTTTTCTCACAAACTGTACAAATAAAATTATTCAAACTTAAAGAATCACTACCGTGTATATTCCTTAAGTGAACATACAGATTTTTTTTTTGTGTAAACTTTGTATCACAGATTGAACATTTAATTTCAGATGCACTAGATGACATGATGATACAAACAAAAATAAAACACTAGCATAATGACACAGTCTGAAGAGTATGAAAAATGGGTACTCGTTCAATATGCTATCTATAAATATTTTATCTACCGTAATTTTATGATAGTTTAGTATGATATATACTGTAAATATTATATACACTCATAGTATAATATATTTTGATATAATGTATTATACTTTATCATTTTGCAATTAAGATTAAGCTTTTATCGAAATCTTAAATAGTAGGTATTATATTTATACCTGATTATCATAGGCTTCTTACAAAAAAAAAATCTTTATCCATAAACCTATCATTCCGAAAATACTAAACCAAAATGATTGCAACATTGACCTGAAATTAATAACTTATTGTTAGGAGATTTATGACTTGGAAATTTCTTATTATTATGTATTATTTTAAAATTTTCAAATATTTTATTAGCAATCAATAATACTGTATCTGGAATTGAATAAAATAGATATATGTACACACAAGTATTAGGAACATTAACTAATATTGATAAAAATGAAAATAATAATGTACATTGTTAAATCTGTTTATTTACACTTTTGCATTTGTCAGTTTAGTTTTTACTTTACATTATAAGTCACCACAAATGATTATGTTTTTAAATTAAAACAAAATAATACTAACATACACACACCACACACCCTTAATATTTGTTTAAATATCTAATTTCATTCAAATTTATAGTATTTTTTTTAAATTAACCCGCGTAATCCAGTATTTGAAAATATCAGGTGCACATAAATAGTGATAATGGTATGATAAGGGGAGCTGCGCGCGCAGCAGCCAATTTGCCATGCTGCAGTGAGACGCTCGTTTATCTTGTCCTATACACTAACTATTATCAATTGTTATCATGAATTAACCATAGGTGATGTTTGTTATTAACGTTGTACCGCCAATACAGACTATATTGTGCTATCACTTATCGCATTAGATTGCATGGTAATTTCTTAAATCTCTTTAATATTTTATACTTATACGATTCGARTTCACAAACTCATTAGTCATGAAAGTTTAGTGTTTCAACTTTCAGATTTTAAKTTGATATCTGTAATCTGTTGGTTTTTTTTTCTAAAAATGAGTGTACCGAAAAAAATGAAGAAAATAAAAGATTTTTTTAAAAACGAATCTGTTAATAGTAAGTTAACTGTACTTCTAAGTATTAAATTATAGAAAAACATTTAAAAATTCCATTTGTATAAAATATAGGTGCTATAATCAACCAAGACTTGTCTCAGAAGTCAGAATAATCAGAATCTCTTTCCTGGTCCAAGTTCTGAAAATGATACCAACTTGGGTAAATAATTATTCTCTATTCTCGTGTTTTAAAAGCAAAATAATTTAATTTTTATTTGCTTGTGTTACTACTTATATGTACATTTTATGTTTTAGATGTTATRAAGCTAACTATGTGTGATTAACAATTGGTGCTGTTGAAATTTATTAATCCTTATGTTTATGTTTAATGGTCTTAAAACCAAATATTTAATGTAGAGATTAATGTTACATGTACTTTATTATTTTTATTTGTGTATAGTGAATTTGTGTTTTTTTTTAGAATAACTTAAAGTAAAATTAAAAGTAATCTGTGAACAGTCAATTTTACTATGGTATATAATGCAAAATCAAGTCAATTTGGTTTAAAATGTTTAAATTAGTCATTTATTTTAAAGCTTGAAAATGTAAAGATTGTTGTTGCATGAATTATCTGTTTATGTGTATTAGTTTTGTAGGTATATAATATTACATATTATTATGTATAATTAATAAAGCACAATAATAAATAGTGTAACGTCACAGAATTTTAGGCCTCTATAATATCATTATCCATTAAACCCACCTTTCCCTACAACAATTAAATTATCATACCTATCGGTCTGCGACCATTAYTTTAATGGTCTTTCYATTATYACAATAGCGCGTTGCGATTAAGACGAACAATAGTCATGTTATATCCTCACTTATCCCCCCAACCCCTCCTGAACATAGTGTCCGGCGAACTGTCTCCGCGGATGTGGTT